CAGATGGATATTTATTGACGTAACAATAGGAAGTATTCGAACCCACCACCTTAGGTGTACGTGGCTGGCGCCTTAGCCGGTTGAGCTATAGGCGCCGAGCCCAGGCTAGGATTTCTTAGGAAGGCGCCCCAGGCAGTTGATAAGAGGCTGCCTCTGAGGACAAAGCAAGAGGGGAAGAGGCCTGGCTCTGGGGCAGGGGCTATGGAGAGGGTGTGGGGGATGAGCCCCAAGAACAGAAGAGAGGTCAGCAGTGCCTGTGAAGGGCAGGGAAAGCCTGAGGGGAATGAGAGACATCGCTGCCAGAGGGACGTTCTGCGCCACTTACGTGGTGAAGCCCTGGGATGGCTTCTGCTCCATACTCGCTCTGAATAATTGGCTTCTGGTAGGTCCCATACCAGTTCTCAAACTGGGTCTTCAGCTGCAGCTGAATCAACTCCAAGTGCCCATAGTCATGATACCAAGAGAAGTAACTATTCACACAGATCACGTCCACGTACGGAACCTAGGACAAGAGCCAGGGGACTATATGGGAACGCACACTCAGAGGGTTCCTTCCACAGAGAAGGTAGGAAGGGGATGCAGGAAAAGATCTAGATCCTGAAATTATCCTGCTCACAAATAGGAAAGATAGCCAGGAAATGACCGCCTAAGCCCAAGAGCTGGAGGTTGCTGTGAGCTGTGACACCACCGCATTCTACCCAGGGCGAGGGCAACAAAGTGAAACTCTGTCCCCTTAAAAAAAAAAAAATCCCCACAAAACAAAGCAGCATATCTTTGGTGAGGAAATGAACTAAAACATGACAACAAAGCTAGTGATTAAACCTTGTTCCAAAATTTCATCCATTCCCTCAGTAAATATTATTTAGCACCTAATGTGCATCAGGTACTCGTGAGTGCCTGGGAAGCAACAATAAATAGGATTCATTCTCCCTCCTGGATCCCAGTCTGGCCAGGGACAGAGCCAAAGACTGAGGACAGCACAGCGGGAATGCTGAGCCGGTGCTAAAGGCAAACCTCCCCTCAGAGGGCACAGCTAGGCGGAGGCTCCAACGCCGCACAGGAGTCT